TGAGAAGTCAGAGCAGACATAAGTATATCTAATCGGGAAGTGATAGCATCCATATCACTTTGCCAAGGAGGAGCAGTAGCAGGAGTGGCGGTAGTGGGCGGTGGTATCTCAGCAATAGCAACAGTACGGCTGCGAGAAGATGGCTTAAGCTCTGGATGGAGCTTCCAGCAAGTAGCCCTGAGATGTCCTGGTCGGCCACAATAATCACATTGACGGGAATCCCCCCGTCTGCGCTGATCTGGGATGCCCTGACGGCGCTGGTCTGAGCGTTGCCCATCCCTGACTAAGGATCCTGAACGGGACCCTACAGCAGTTGCAAGGGCCATCTGGTCAATCGAAGGAGTCAAAGCTGCAACTGGAAGTGATGCAATACGGACTCGACGCTCATGCTGCTCAATCATCCCATACACCTCATAAAGAGAAGGAAGTGTCAACATCGACAAGATCTGAGAACGAGGTCCCTCAAACTCATCACGAAGCCCCATAAGGAACTTGTGAATCCTATCCTCCTGCTCTCGAGTATGCAAGAATGCTGCTCCCTCGGGCTCTATCTTCGGAATAGCAGCAAGAGGACGTAGAGACTCATACTCAAGCCAGCGCTGGGTCAAATAGCCATAATAATCCTGAACGGTCATATCTCCCTGTCGAGCATATGAGAGCTCCTGAGAAAGCTCATAAACACGAACTCCCCGTCCTGACTGAGAATACATCTCTGATAATGCGCTCCATAGCTTCGGAACAGAGCTATGAAACTGATGGATCCTGCAAACAGAGGGCTCCATTGAGCCAAATAACCATCCAAGAATGGCACAGTTTTCAGAGAACCACGCAGAATATCCAGGGTCGGCATCAGCTGGCTTTGGGTGAGATCCCGTCAGCCAACCAAGCTTCCCTACACGGCCTAAGAAAAGCTGGAATGAGCGTGACCACTCAGCGAAGTTACGACCATTCAACAATTGTGCCGTAACTTTTTGAGAGATCATGCCCGGTAATGCTGGTAATGCAACTGTGCCAGTAGGCACTGTATACTGGTCAAACATAAAAGTGGAAGTACCCATAGATGTCTCAACGGTAGAGGTGTCAACAGTAGGGTTCTCAAGTCCCTCAGTAGTAGCCATATCAACAACAATACTAGGGCACCCGTGACAGAAAAATAACTCTAAGATAAATAGAGGAATAAAATAAGGGAGAACAATATACCTTCAGTCGAACAGTAGCGACAAATAAGGAAGGTCCAAAAAGCTCCCAAATAATCAAGTCACGGTGCCCAGAAATCCAATAAATATAAATGATCTACTGCATTAAAAGCAGATCAACGGAGAAAAGGATCTGGTGCCTCCTCAAAAAGGCCTAGATATTGCAACTCTAGAAAAAAAGGTGGCGCGAAAAAATAGTGACACTGTGACGAAAAGATACACGTGACCCGATAGCGGGTTGATGAGTGGGCTGGTTTGGGGCTGGTCTAGGATTGGTTTGGGTTGGACCGGGCAGTGGGTCGACGATTTGTTGTTGGCTGGGTTTTGGGTTTTGGTTTATGTGGCTGTCGGTGGAGCAGCTGGTTTAATGGAGTGGAGGCAGTCGGTGTAGATGTTAAGGCTGGGTTCTATCGGTGAGGAGGCAGTGGGGGTTTTGTGGGTCGCTGGGCAGTCGGTGGGGTGGGCTATAAGAGTTTCGCTGGGCAGTCGGTGGTTTATGGGCAGTCGGTGGACTGAAACATGTTTTGGTTTCAGTCGGTGCTGTATGGGCAGTCGGTGGCTGGGCTATAGGAGTTTCGGTCGGTGCAACTGGTTTCAGTCGGTGTCGGTTGGAAGCAACAGGTTCTGGAGTCGCTGGTTCTTCGATATGGTTGGTTTCGGTGGGCAGGTTCTGGTGTCGATATGTTTCGGTGGGCAGGTTCTGGTGTCGATATGGTTGGGTTTTTCGGTGGAGTCGCTGGTTCTGGTTCTGGTGTGGCGCTGGAGTCGCTGGTTCGGTGTAATCAGTTTTTGGTTTTTCGGTGGAGTCGCTGGTTCTGGTTCTGGTGTGGCGCTGGAGTCGCTGGTTCGGTGTAATCAGTTTTCAGTCGGTGGAATGGTAGACGATTTTGGCTGGGTTCTGGTTCTGGTTCTGGTGTGGCGCTGGAGGTTGGGCAGGCTGTTGCAGATTGTTTGAGTGTTTTGGAATGGTGGCTGCTGGGAAGGTGATGAAGGCTAGGGTTAAGGTTAGGGTTAAGGTTAGGGTTAGGCTTAGAGATGGGGGCTAGGGTTTTGGCTTTGATACCAACTTGAAATATGTGAAAGGGATACTCAAACTCAAAGTAGAGTCCCGTATATATAGCCAAAAATAATACAGAGTGACTTAAATATCCTTGTAGTTTAGGCAAAATATAAAAATCATAGTAAGGGTAAAAAAGACCTAGACTACTATCTATACTCCAACAATAATAAAGGTTAATCGCACTTTGTACAATAAAACATGCTCGAATTCTCATTTCGCAACTTGAAAGTTTCATTTCTTAAATTCATTCTCAATGTCGTGAAATAGTTTGAAACATGGCCTAGACCCAAAATTGTAGTTCACTTTTCCATAAGAATACGTCGTATGAGCATCTTAACATTGAAAGTACAATTTAAGAATTAAAATATTTCAATGTGTAAATAAACATTCGAGCATCTTCCACTTAACCCTTATAATAATCATAGGGTTTTATCTAATATCAATTCTATTATGTGGCATGATAAGGGCTTCATGTCATATGCTAACTTGTTTCTTTCTTTTTTTGGAGGTAATAGTCTGGTTGTTCAGACCTTCCTTTTCATGCTGATGGTGGGAGCTTTTAATTTCTTCCCACTTTTTTCAGCCCAAAAGTTTTAAAATCAGTTTTTGACTCAATAGAATAATGGAAGTCATTAACTCCTAATTTTTAATGCTCATAACTCAATTCCACATTGTCTAGTGAATGTGATGTAGTAAACAAGTAGGCATTTTAGACCTTCATTGCATAACGTGTTTTAAAATTTTGTGGGTATATCTTAGAGAGGACAATATTGTCTAGTGCGGGTCTAAGATGCTGCTATTAATTTTAGAGGCATTAATCTATGTGGTGTAGAGGCTACTTAAGGATGTGCATCCCTCGATATATCCCGGTCCGAAAGGATGGCAATTAGCACGGTGAGAATCAACCCCTACAAGCCACATCAATTAGGTCTGGATGGGGCACATATATGTTCGGGCTTAAGAGAGTGGATTGTAGTGACTTTATCTCACATCGCTTAGTGGGTGTGAAGTGAAACATATATGTGAGCTCTAAGCTTTCATTGTATAACACGTTTTAAAGTCATGTTGGTCTAGCTAAAAGCAAAAAATATTATACAATATGAATTCAGGGCGTTGTGTTGACTCAATCTCACATCATTTGGTGTTATTATGTGTATAGACCTTGATAAGTTTGAGTTTCAACCATCATTGTACGACGCTTTTAAACGTCGTCAGGACCTAGCTCAAAGTAGACAACCAATATCGATATTGACATGCGATCTTTACCAACATATGGTGAAATAGATTGGAGATCCAAATGAAAAAATTAGAAAAAAAAAAAATAAAGGGTGCACTTGCACAAATATAAGAGCTTTTAGTGTTGAATTTTTGGGTCAAGAGTTACATGAGTCAATCTCAGCATAACGCAATTAGTACAAAATTCAAGTTAGTATAAAACTATATAATATAATTAATTTGATGAGTTAAGTTAACGTTGATTAATAATCAACATGAACCCGAAGTGTCACAATTTGCACAATACAACATGGCTTGACTCAATTGTTACCATCAGTTACAAAGGAAAGGGAGCGAAACAAAGACTAAACAAAGAATTGTGAGATTTTGTACCTAATTATTTTTATTTATGAAAGAATTTCACTTATTTTCTAAAGCATAAACTACTAATATTTGTTCCATGGAATCAAATTGTAAAAAAAAAATTCTCATGATTTCAAACTTACATGACGTGTTGAAAAAATCAAGATCTAGAGTGATCAAACATACTATGACTGGAAGAGCTAGAGCCTGAACCATGTTCACCTGTTGAGTGTAAATTTTTGTTCAAGTTCTTCTTGATTCGAGTAAAAATCGAAGTTAATATCTTAGCAAAAATTTCTTACAATTAAACCATTAAATTTCATAATTAATACTAAAATAATTAATTTCTTGATAAAATCTCCTCAAATTCTTGTAATTAATCATAAAATCAAACCCCAAAAGTTTAATTTTTTTTAAAATCAGTTAGAACAAAGAGAGAGAGAGAGAAGTGTAATAATATAGCTAATTGGGAATAAGTTTTCCATTGTTCATCTTTTGAATGTGTTTTATAGTCTCTCACCAACTCTGTCCCTTCTTAAATAGGCTGCTATCTTTCTCTTTCACGATTAAATTTTTTCGGTTGTTTCACTTTTAAAGATGAAAAAAAAAAGGATTTTCTTTTACCTACCGACCAAACAATCTCTTGATCAATGGATTGATTGGAGCAAATAACAAAGGGAGTGATCTGAGGTATAACGGGGCAGATTTGAAACAAGTCAAGGTTACTAGAGTTGAGTCATTAGTTGCTCGGGTTTGGCTCGTTTACAAAATGTGCTCATAAATATGATCAAATTTCTTTTCTTTCTCTTTTTTTTTTTTTTATTTGTGTGCTTTTTTGCAATACCATCAACTTTGAATGAGTCAAATCCGAGTCAAGCTGGAACTGCTTTACTGATGGCTTATGAGAGCTAGTAAAGCAAGAGGCAACTTTCAATTATTTGCAATATGAGTCTTTACTTATTTGATATTAATTTCATTGCAATGAATTCGTTTAGTAGAAGTTTATGAACCAATAACTACGATGATCAAGTCACTGAAATAAATCCATGGTTCTATCTCATTGATAAAGTGTCATCTACATCTAGTGCACACGTCTTCTGCCTTTAGTATGATCTTTATCCCTATTTTTTGACAAAGTGGTTTCAAGACTTAAACTCATAATATATCACTTAGGCATATGATCATTTGCCATCGAAATAGGACAAAAAAGAGGTCACAAGTACATATTACAAATTACTTTACAACATTCACCTCTTTTGGAAGTTCAACTTCCCAATACAATATGCAAATAGGGAGGCAAAAAGAATAGGGTATAGAATCAGAACAACAGCCACAATAGGTAAGCGATCATGGTGAAATCCGAAGTAATCCTTTAAAAAGGCTGCTACTGTTTTGTTTTCTCCAAACACCGTAATGTTTTTGTGTAGATCTCCATATTGAGGAGTAAGCAGACCATTTAGTGACCAAGATGAAGGTGTTATATAGTATAACCACAGCCACCACTTAGGAATTTGCTACAGAAGACGAAAACAACACAATTGGATTAGTATATCTATTCACACAGGAGTTCTAAAAATCCAATAATTCACAAGTTTCTTAGACCACTGGGGTGCCTCTATCGGAAAGGGAGATGGGTATAAATTATCCAAACTCCATGGGATATAAACATTTTGGATCTAGTCTCCACCTAATGTTATAAACTACAAAGTTGCAAAGATTGCCAAGACTTGGAATAAGCAATTTTTAGAAATCTATAACTGGTGAGAAAACAAATTTTCAGTTAAATTGCACAATTCTGATCCAGCTCAATAGTTTTTCCCTCCATTCAAGATTTAAAAAAAAAAAAATAGAAATCTATCAGTACAAACCCACAAACATATTAATTACCAAAAATTGCAGACTTATATTTTTTGATAAAGAGTTGCTACCTTGTGGGATTCATATGATTAATCATTTTGGGTTGCAAACAAATAGTTTAAAGTTAAGAACAAGCCATGATGATTGAAAACCAATTCAGGAATGAACTATTCAGACAAAGAGATTTGAAATCTCAGGTTTGCTTCATCATGAGTTTTGGGGCTTTTCCCTAGTACTGTTATAGTTACCATTAGCATACATAGAAAGACATGCCTTATTGAGAGTGGTCAATCTGTGCAGATAGAACTGAATGTTGGGTTTCTACCTAGTCCAAGACTCCTATAACTGCCGACTATTTGAACAATAATGTGTAAACTATTATCATTAGCAAAACTGTAGCCACAACAAGGTCGGATCCATTATCAACTAGAGAGTAGTAGCTTACCGGCCGAGGTAGGAAAAACCCAGAAAACAGGTTAAGCATCATGTAAAAGGCAGACTGTAGAATTGCAGCCATCGGAAAGCTTGGTGTTATTGAAACAAGCAGCATCCCCATATAAGTGAAGTACATTAAGGTACAGAACATGGCATAGAAGTACCAAAAAACCTTATAAGCTGACCAATAGTACCCAATCATCGGATATGTGATGATCACATACACAAGTGCTTGGGCCAAGATATAAGGAACCTCAATTATCACCTATAAAACCATTACCCATATTTCAATGAATGTGAAACTAAAACAGCAAAAACTCATTACAAACTATGTGATAACATTGTTCATATGCTTGATAACTCGGTTACATCAAGGAGCCTTGGATCTGTTAATCCTAGGATGGAATGGGTTTAAGCAGTTCTAGTTTTCACTGTGTGTCCATGGAGGAGTACTACTACGTACCCAAAATGGGAAGGGACATATGCAGAGGACTCGATGCAGTGTAAGTGTTGCGTTTGATTGTAAACATAATCCTAGAAAGTAAAAATTATATTGCACCTAAGCTGCTATTCTCAATGAAGGCATTTGTTCATTTATTCTCAAACGGTGGATGAAGAACCAAGGCGCAAGAACCAGAAAATTATAGCTCTATTTTACTCTCCTTTTTTATTCTAGATCAATTTTCGCCAAATCAAATAGAATATCACCAACTCACCAAGTTCACAAGAAACTATACCTGGGCAAGAGCATAAGCCCATGAAGCATACATCCCAGCAAATAGTTCCCGATACAGAACAGTTCGCTCTGTGGAGACATATGGTAAGACTGAAGATAAGTTACTTATGCCACAAAAGATCACACCGCTGGACATTGAACCTAGGACATTGAACAAGCTCTGCTGGTTGTTTCTGTGAAATAAAAGGCAATATATTAATGATTGACCCATGAAGCAATTTAAATGAAAAACTGATAAGAAATAAGATTATGAAGATTCAGTGACTGGAAATCACGGATTAGAAAAAGGCAGCTGGGGTGATTTCTTATGCAAGGCACGCATCTTCAGTAATTAAAAAGGAAAAAACATCACAAGTACTATGAATTATTATGAAGAAGCTTTTTTTTGTTCCAAATGTCTGGTCCACGTTAGTCTGGACCTCATATTCAGAAAATCCTATATGTGAATGGTTGAAATTTCAACAAATTATCCAAGTGAACTGAAAAGGTTTTTACTCATCACTCACGTATGGTAATGCAATATTAAAAAAAAAAAAAAGGAGGAATGCACCAGATTCTGGTTACTTTAAACCATTTCTCATGCTACATGTTTTCTGGCCATATGCAGTTGTCGGGCGTGGTAAAAAAAGCCAGATACCAGATCTGAGAAGAAACTGGTTTCTTTAAACCAGTTGTAGAATTCTCTACCTTGTGCAGGAGCTAGATATGTAGCGGAAGGTTCATGAAAGTATCTTGTTAAATATCGTTGTTGTTTCCCGGTATTTACGGTGCAAGCTTAAACTCAACTCAATTTAATTTACTTACATTTTCTTCCCTTGATCCCAAAACAGTGTCCCAAAAAGCAAAGACGCAAAAACCATATACAGAGAACGCATCAAGTTGTATGAAGGACTTCTCCAGTAAGACAAATGTTGTTTCCAGAGGCAGGATTTGAACTGTCCCCAACCGTTTTGTGAAAAGCGGGTTGGAAAATGCAACTGTTTTGAATCAGGGGGTGGAATACTCAACCTCTTTACTAGCTCTTCATTGTTCCTACAATGTAAATAGCAACAGAAAAAAGTCAGGAACAAGCCAAAGGTAAAAGATGACAATACAACAATACCAGCTATAATTAAGCAAATAATGTTTTATACTTTCTATCATTTTCCCGTGGATAATAACATGGAGTCATGGACTATAAAATATCAGTAGGTTCCAGCACTAAACATTGGAAGAATTCTTTTAGGGTCCGTTTGGATAGGAACAAAAGAACGATGGAAAGTGAAAATGATAGAAAGTAAAGTTAAAGAAAAGAAAATGATAGAAAATATATTTGTATGCATGTATTTAGTTTGGATGAAAAAATTGCAATAAAGTTTTAAAAATTTTCATTCTATTGTTTGAAAGAAAGTAAAATTACAAGAAAATTTTTCTAATTGTCTAAATTATCTTTAATTATATTAAATCGGTCTAAAGAAAAAAAATGTATTATAATTGAAAGTTAAATTTTTTTAAAATAGTGGCTTGTAACCTAATTTTAGGACAAGCATCAATACGAAGGTCTTTGAACCAAATTATATTGTTAATCAAATCCATACCAATAATAAAATATTTTAAGAAAAATAAGGGTAAAATGAGAAGTTAGTTATAGACCACAATTTTTTTTGCAATTCCTTGCGTTTTTTATAAGAAAAAAAGTTGATTTGTTGTAAAAACATTCAAGCATAAAAGAAAATTATTTTTTCTATCATTTTCTATTTCATGCTAACCAAACACATAAAAAATTTAAAAAATTTCTCTTTCTTTCATTTTCTACTATTCTCCTACTAAACAAACGGACTCTTAGTGAGTTGTAATCACACCATCAGTCTTCACATTCAAATAGTCCTAAACCTCTATCAAAACATTTTTACTAATGAATTTTATTCAAACTTCAATTTTATTAGAATTATTGGATCAACACCATATTCTAATATTGGATGAAAGTTTACAATCAATTAAAAGATCATAGTAAATTAGGTTAATAAATTAAGTATCAATAACATTACTCAAACAATTGACACCCCTTAAGGTTTTAATGATAATATAGTGCGTAGTATGTGGTTTTGGATATTACAGTTGGTTCCAATTAATCAACGGTCAACTAATGAGGTTGACATAAATAATGAAATGGCTATTATATCCTTTGGATAAAGAACCAGACTCAAACTCAAACCCGACTGAAAGTAGTTAGACTAGTTAGACCCTTCTTTAACATTACCCAACATCATTTCCTCATTCTGATGAGTACACTTCCATAGAGGAGTTGCAATTGTTGGAGAACTCAAAATGTTCCGGGGGGGGGGAAGACCTTGGAGCAGGACTCACTTCAACAGAGGATTCGGAGTTTATTCTAATAGCTGCCACAAGTGATTAAAATTTGTTTTATTTTCATCAATTAAATAATATTTAAGTACTTGAAAAGTCTGATTCAAAATGTGAATTTTTTGGCATGTTAATTAAGCGTAGTACCTCCTCATAACTTTATTCCATCGATTTTAGAAGCATGAATCTTTGGACACAATTTTTTCCATACATATATTTTTTATCTTCAACGAATGGATCGGCATTCAATATAGGTCGAAGAATATGGTTGCCTGATTGGTTAAATAAAAAAACTCTAAAAAATTCTAAAACATGTAAATATTATCATCCATACATCATATCACCAAAATACATTAGTTAACACGCTAAACATATTAAAAAGGAATTTTGAGGGTGTTACCAAAATATTTGTCATCATTCATCACTTGTAAGCATTTAAAAGCATAATAACTTTAAATATATGCTAATATATTTATTTTGAACATACTAGTACTTAAAAATTACATATGCAAAAAAAATTAATAAAAGTGTCAATTTAATGAGTTTAAATTCAAATAAGCATCTAAATTTCATTTCAGTGAATAGTTTCGATGAGCTTGAAAATGGAAATGTTTCATTAATGCTTTGGAAACAAGATTGGTACAAAAAAAAATTTTAATTTTTTTTTTGAAATATTGGTTGAAACAACCAAAACATGTCAAAACACCTCAAAACATAAGAATTTTATTGTTCACTCAATGAATTTTTTCGACTACTTTTGACTCCTAATTAAATTATACAATAAATAACAAGAAAAATATAAACCCCCAAAAATTTATAATAATGGATATGTTGTATTTTTTTGAATAAGTATAAGATGTCATAGGAATAAAGGAAAAACATAGGGTGCTAAAAGTGTTTTGTGTGTTAAGTAGCATATTTGTGGTAAAGTTTATTGATAATGGTAAGATATTGTCTTAGTATTTTATTTATAAACTTCTTTCTATGAAATTAGAATGATCTGAAGTTTTACAGTAGAATTTAGATATCCAGATGAACAAAGGTGTATTTCACAAAACTTTTGTGAATCGCCTTCTAGGTAAGGCAAAACTATGTTGGGAGTTAAAGCAGGAAACTAGGTTCACATTCGAAAGCCAATATCATGTTCGAAAGCCAATATCATGTTTGAAAGCCAGCTAGTCCTAGTACTTTGGTGTTGGACAAAACTTCTAATAAAAATTGAGATATTGAGAGCTCGTGATATTTGAACGAAATTCACGTTCGAACACCATACCCACATTCTAATGCCATAGGCGTTTTAGCAATGATTAGACTCACATAACCGCTCAAATTTTTGACCCTATAAATGCCCTAAGGACATCCCTAGGTTAGTTTTAGCAAATATCGACCTTAGAAGAATCCTACAAAGTGAGGAGCAAGAAGAGAATGCAAGATTAGAGAGAATTTTCGCATAGAGGACGGATCTGAAACACTAGAATTCCACATCAAATCTTAGATTGAGGTTGGGGTTTCTTACTAGAGTCATTCATTGAGGCTAGGGTTACTACTTATGTATGTTTTGTCTCTAAATCGTAAGTATATAATATGTAATCATTGATTCTTAGTTTTCTTACCAATTGTATCATGTGTTGAATGAGATTATTGTTTGATAGCCATAAAACTCTCATTTCTGTTATCAAAACCCTAGTTTTCAAGAAAGATAGGTTTTACATGTGATATTATCTTGTTCTTGAGTTCTAAATATGTTAGTAATGGTTTTGAAAAATAAAATTACATTCTTAATAATCTCTTGCATCTTTTCTAAAATTGCTCCATTGGAAAAATATTTGTGAAAGTATAATGCTTGGTTTATATGTGTTTCGATGAATTGGCTTGGTATAGTATCTCTTGTATGGGTGGTTTAATGAACATGGGTGACCGTTGACCGAATATGGTAGAGTGGATAGATACATTTCTTACCCCGAGTGGGTTTGAAGGTTCAGTACCACTCATAGTGGGGTTTGGTGTCTTGCGAAGACCAAATTACTATTTGCTTACAAATATCGAGTCTGAGAGTTAGTATACTATTTCTGGGTTGGATTCATCATTGCCGATGCATCGGTATACACTCTTCTTAAAATTATGTGTCCTTGTGAGGATTGGGTGTGTGTGGGTCAAGATATTCTTAATATGTGTATTCATGCTCCATCTACCTATATACCTGAGATACTGGGGATATGATTCATGAGGAGGATGTTTAAGATTATGTTTATGGAATGATTTACATGTTGGTTATAAAACAAAGTTACAAAGGATATTTTACTTATTTCGCTTTGTGATATTAATTAGTTTTTGGGAGACATGTTATGTTTGGTTTTGGATGTAATCGCTTAGGTTTGTCACAGTTGTGTTGGATTATGCTTTAGTTACTATGGATAATGGAATGAATTGTTTCTGCGTGGTTAATATTAGTTGCTCTCACTATATCAATGGTTATAGATTAATAATGCCTTTCAAGGTGGGTTTTGGGGTGTTACAAAAAAAATTAGAAGAAAAAGGAAAATCAAAAATCAATAAATACATAAGGATTAAAGACTAAAAGAAAAAAAGGGCATAGGTCTTTGTATACTTTGGGTCTCGGTGATAGAGAGAAAGAGAGAGATGATTAGAGAAAGGAAAGGGGAAGACGAATAGAGAAAGAAAGAAAGAAAGGGAGAGAGACTAACACAGAGACAAAGAGAGAGAACAAACGAAGATTGCAAAGACTGTGATTGACGATGCTTCAATCTACAAGCCTAGGGTTTCTGCTAGCTTTGATCTGCGATGGGTCTTTGTTGGAAAGAAGAAGAAGGCATCATAGGCCAATGGTTATCTACAATTGTACCTAGTGCACGATCCCTTTATGTTGCGATGAAGAATAAAAGGTGAAGCAAGAGGCAGTTGCTTCATCTTCTTAGTAAGGTTTTGATTGCTTCTTCTTCTTCTTCTTCTTTTTCTTATTCGACTGCAACTCAACCAACTCAGTGACGAGTTTATTTGGGTTTTTCTGAGTAATCTCTGATTCATGCCCAATTCGAGTGAGAATCGTGGACTTGTATCGTTTATCGTTATTAGTTTGGCGTGGATTAAGGCAGATATAACTCGACTGAGTCAACTGAGACCCGACCAATACTTTGAAACCTTGAACTAAGGGATTTGTGGAATGCAGAGAGAAGGAAAGGCTATGAGTTTTTGGTTATGATGGGATTAGGGCGGTTAAGGGGATGCAAACTAGAGAATTGTAGAGAATGGGGAGGGTTTTTTGGGTTTTAGTTTAGGGGTAGGGGAATTGTATATTTCTTATAATTTCATTACTTTTTTGTTTTGAATTTTGTAATTCTTAAGTTAATAAGGTAAAATTAGGCATTGTAGAATAAATGTTGATGACATCAGCAATGAGATTGAAATAAATAAATAATATATACACATACATATATATATATATAGGAAAAAATTGTGTCAACTCACTATCAATGAAATGGTTGGTTCATAGTAATTAATAGGTTTCAATAACTTGTATTATCTAGTGGTATTATGGATGCTCTAACTACATCTTAAAATAGATTAAAGAGTGATTTACATTACGAATGATGGAAGTCCAACTCCAATATAAGGGTGTGCTTCGACTCCGATGGAGTCAGAAAGCATGAATCCGAACTCTAACTCCGACTCCAGTCAGAATAAATTTTCTTCTTCAACCCTGACTCTGCACTACATTGATTCCACCACTGAGTCTGCCAATCGGAGTTGGACCGAAGTTTCAAAAATGGACAAAATCCAAAACAACAAAAAAAACCCATAAATTTGTCAAATATCATCACACACACACACACACATATAGAGACGAATGGGGCTCTTTGCCTTTCGTTGATTATGTGTGTGTATGTGTGTGTGTGTGTGTGAGGGAGGGAGAGAGAGAGAGAGAGAGAGAGAGAGAATGGAGAACAAATTAGCTCTAGGATTCTAACGAAAAAAATATAGCTCTAGGATTTTATATCTTGATTTTGCTCTTTTGCCCTACTCCTTTCTCTTTTTTCGAATTCATCATTTAACTCTTATGTATTTATATATAGCTTTAAAATGTGGTTTTATTTCAAAATATATTAATATTTTTTATAATTTATAATTTGCATAAAATTATTATTTAATAAATGTTGGAGTCAGAGTCGGAGTTGGTGTCAATTTTCGAATAGTTGCACACCCCTGCTGGCGGCAGCCTAGTTGGTATAAGAATATTGTCTAAGCACGCAAAAGACCATCAAACACTGTAATGGTCGATATAAATCTGGATGACATATACGAACCCTTCCTTGTCTTCCAAACAAATGTATTTAGATGGTTTAGACCTTGACATGATGCTTGTTTGGGAAGATAGACTTCTATCCTCTAGAGTGATTGCACCTAGCAAGAATATAATATTTTCTAACCTAAGAGAGTGGCACTCAAAGAAATGCTCAGTAGTTAAAAACTCACTTAATCAACGCAGAATTCTGATAAATTTGGGCAAAATCCATTCCGAGTTGAGCTTCTGCAGATGTAGAAGTGACCTCTAACATCCATGTTGCTGGATTGTAATTATTCCTGATCTTTGGCACTCCTAAGATGCCCTGTTTAAAAGATACAGTAATTTGAAGGCAACATTGTTTTCTATACAAAAGAAGCATTTCTACTGTGAAAACAAAAGATGGGGGAAAGCATCTAAAACCTGCACGCATTATATGGAAAACTGACCTCAAAGTACTCAATGATTCTACTTGATCGCTGACCCAATGGTCCAGAGTAGATCATACGCCCACCAATTTTCAACAGAATTACCTGCAAAAAGGTAAAAGCCACATCGAACCACACTTCTTTACATTTACTAATCACATTATTGAAATCTCACAAGAAAATATTTAGATCTATTTGTTCCCTATGAGCTAATATTTAACATCTGTTCAGAAGTGAAACAATTCCATAATGAAGTTATGGAGTAAAACCTATAGAACTATAGAGTCTATATGCCAAAGGTACTTATCTTTCTGAAAGATAATGGTGATAAGGAACTAAGGATCATCCAACCTTTGTTAATCAATAGGAAAAGAATTTTCTTGTGTAGGGAAATTTAGCTTCATTTATGTTGTATGAATAGAAAGACAATAGCTTTGTGACAGCTTAACCAGGAATGATTAGAAACACAATAGCTTCAACGCATACTTGGAAGAGTACAAAAAATACAGGAACAAATACACACATAATAGAAGGCCAAAAACCCACCCACAAAAAACAGTTTATTCTGTCTGTGAGCTACATAATACTTGTATATTATTTCTCTATTTGGTTGGTAGCTAGGTTGGAGTCAAAAAATTAAGAAACTTGTTTTTTCCCATCAACTAAATTTTAGGCAAAAAATTTATTTCTTCCCAACTTGCGTAAATAGACATACCTATTAAACATTTCATAGACTTGGTAATGTGATGTGTAATGGTTTAACTTCTGGGTTTTAAAATGGATCACTTATTTTGTATATGATAACTGGGAAGACAATTTCTTGATCCCAGCATAAAGTATTAAATTTAGGAGTGCTACTAATGGAAATTAAACATCTTTTCAGGACTTATGACTAATTCCATTTCAGTACCATCTATTAACACTAATTGTTATATTCCAAAACATATGCTGAAACTATTCCGTTGTTGTTCTCTTACCTCATCAAATGCTTCAAATATATCAATACTCGGCTGGTGAATAGTGCAAACAATTGTTCTTCCTGTATCAGCCACATTCTTCACAGCCCGCATGACAATTGCAGCTGCTCTTGCATCCAATCCGGTTGTCGGTTCATCCATGAAAATAATAGAGGGGTTTGCAACAAGCTCCACAGCAATTGTGAGTCGCTTGCGTTGCTCAGTTGATAGACCGCTAACACCAGGCGTGCCAACTAAGGCATCTTTGATTCCATCAAGTTCAATTGTCTCTATGACTTCTTTCACAAATTCCTGTGAACTCATGAAATACCAATTTGAAAACAAAATAAAAATGATTGAGCTAATACCATGAATTAAATTAGTGTCTGTAGATATAGGTCATACAGATTTAGTTTTTGAATCGATCTGAGGTTGAAGACGAAGCCAAGCAGAAAAAATAACTGATTCTTCTACCGTGATTTGTGGAGAATGTATGTCAGTTTGCTCACAGTAACCCGAAATTCGGGCAAATGTTTCTTGGACTTTAGGATAACCTCCGATTTTAATTTCTCCTTCGATAATGCCACTAGCTTTTCTTCCAGCAAGAACATCAAGAAGAGTTGTTTTTCCAGCTCCACTGACACCCATCAATGCTGTAAGAACACCAGGTCTGAATGCACCAGTAATATCGCAAAGAAGTTGGAGTTTCTTTTGAGTGAAACCACGCTCTTTCATTGCCTGCAACAAAAAAATATGACTGAACTTCCCATGTAACATGATCTGAACAAATTTTGATACATTATAACCACCAAAGATTTGAAAGGGATTAGTTTATATGATTACCGGCGGAGTGTCAATATAGTATTGCACATTTTGAAACACCACAGTTTGGGGTTCAAAAGGTAAAACCATCCTATCTGTAAAAAGAGACAATGCACGGTTGTTAACTGTGGGATGAATAGGGTAATAACAAATTGTATAGGGTAAAAGAGGGTGAAAACACCATTTTGGGCAAATAAATTGTATGAAAATGAACAAAAAAAAATAACATTTCCCAACCTTTGTAAGGTTGTGTAGTAGTGTTAGCAGGAGAATTTTTGGTTTTTTCTTCCATCTGTGCGCAATTGGTGGATTCTTCACTTCCTTGTATTTGAGAGAGCTTTTCATTTGAAATGATTGCACGAGAACCAGGAGCTAGATGCATTTTGAATTGTGAATACAACTACATTGTTCATTGTATGCTAAGTTGATTTTGAAAATTAGAAAAATAAACTTACGCTTCAAGAAGCTTAAGGCCAAGGTAAAACCAATGTTGAAAATGATTGTAAACCCAAACAAGGCACAGACTGACACCCAAAGAAGGTATCCACTATAGTATAATCCACGGTTTTCAAGTGTTTCATGCCCTAGTGTTGTATTTGAGGGAAGCATCTACAAAAAAATAACTTTAATAAGAACATAGCACTTTAAAGAGCAAGAAAAACCATAAGCTGACATTAGGAACATTTATACACATCATATATCTCTAACTCCACGTATATCTTTTTTATCTGCTATTAAAACCTAAGAGAATTATGGAAATCTATTGAAAACTAGAAGAAAGCACTTTAAAAATCAGAAGAAATCACTTTAAAGAGCATGGTTTCAAAACAGTTAAAATAATAAAAAGTGATATTAAGGTGAGAAGAAAATAGAGAAATCAGTTGTGTTTGTTTAGGTTGTCCTACAATCTCTTATTATAACTTTGTAATAATTGCAAATATATAGAGTAATTACAATATTACCATATACAAACTAACTTATGTATAATATATAAAATAAAACTTATGTCTAATAAAAATTTCCCATTTGGTTGGCTTTCAACAAATTATTTGGTCCAATGGTACTCCATGCCATATGAAGGTTTTGCCTTCTTGAGATCAAGTGTTCAAGTCCCCTTCCCCCTCCATTTCCCCTAAAAAATGAAAAAAAAATTAAAAACATATATTTCATTAGACCAATCTGTGGTCCGCCCTTGCCCGATGACGACTGAATCAACATAAATTACATTAAAACCACTTGAAATATGCCAAATAAGTACCTTTAAATAGTGCCCATTGGATGAACCACAAACAAATATGCTGAAAAACTCACCTTTTGCCATCGTGGAGCAAGAAATTCATTTACAGCAAGTCCTATCTCACCATATGTTAGTGGAGAAACCCAAAATCCCCACTCCAACCAAACTGGCATAGAGGCTGAAACCGATGACACCATACGTAAGTTCATTCTTTTAGTAATTACCCTAAGGAGTAATTATAGAAGACCCTTGTTCTTTGGGGCTAGTGCAGATTATCCCCTTATACGTTATGGTTTTGTAGTAAGCTTCCACTTCAACTATTTACATAAACTATGGCTATCACTAATGACCCACACACCACTCATCTCTATCTCTCTCTCACACACAATAAACACTAGCACTTCACCTTCCCACCCACCCATCACTAGCCAAAACTTCCCAAAGCAGACCCATCGTCTATTAGAACCCACCACACTCCCTCCTTATGCACCTCCATTCTCTACAACATGTATCCCTCACACACGCACATACACACATTTTCATAAACACACAAACAAAAAGAGTGATTCCACCATGGCTCCATTAACTTTGTGTTTTCAATTTCATGCTTTATATAGTTTTGCGATTAGGTCGCAAAATAAAACTTCAAAATTGTGATGCTTTGAGGGAACATTATGAATTATCATGTCTTTGAGGGAACACTTGTATAGTTATGAGTTATCAGGTATACCCTAGACATACCAAAGACACACTCAAATCTAAATCCAATTCATTGACAGGCCTTAATAGAGAAGGTCGTTGGTGTCTCTGGGTGATTGTACTAAAGTTGAAAGAAAAAACAAGATGTTTTGGACATTTTAAAAAAAATAAGTCACTTGGTTACATTTGCAATTGGTTTGCCTTAGCATGACAGAGTTGAAAATCATCGCTAGTCTTTTCGATGGGAAAAGACTAGGTGGGTAAAAGAAAATCTTTATTACTAAGGGTAATAGAATCATCTTGGTTCAGTCTATGTTGACTAGCCTTGCTATTTATTTTATGTCTCTCTTCAAAATGACATGTTTGCTGGAAAGATAAATTGAAGGGTTGATGAAGGAATTTTTTTTGTGGAAAGGAATAGGTGAGAAAAGGAATGATCACTTGATTTGCTAGAAGGTTGTATCTAGGTCAAGGGCTAAAGGCGGTCCTTCTGTGGGGAATTTGTTGAATAGGAATGTAGCTTGGGTTGAAAAATGACTCTGGAGATTCCTTTTGGAACCAGTTTCATTGTGGCATTCTGTCATTAGAAGTAAATATGGCTTACAAGCTAATGGGGTTGGAAGAGAAAAAATTTTTTAGTCCAGGATTCATTTCTCAAGGATTACCTTGTTCTCCCAAAATGTTAAGTTATTATGGGAGATGGAACTAGAGTTCATTTTTTTGGTTGATATTTGGGTTGGGGCTTCTTTCTCTAGTTTATTTCCTTGTTTCTATCGTATCTATTCCTATCATGGTAATTGGATTGCATCTCTGGTTCGGATTTATTCTCATCCGATTTCTTGGGACTTTGGTTTTCACATGAGTCTTAATGATAGTAAATGTTTGGAGTTGATGGTTCTTCTTTAAATCTTAACAATGTCATCCTTCTTTAATACTCTAATTGATGATTCTTCATTTCCATCATTCCAACCATCATTGAAGATTTAGAAGGCCAAAGTGCATTTAAAGGTACAAATTTGTGCATGGATAACTGCTCATGGTAAGACCAATATTAATGAGATACTTCAAAAAAGACCACCCAACCATGCCTTCTTCCATAATGGTATATTATGTGTATAGGTGATAGGGATAATGTGGATCATTTGTTCTGGAATTACCCTAGCACAATCACTATGGAATAAATTATTTGGCCTTGGTCCAGTCACCTATGCTTTGTTTGGATTATATAGATTTTGATGGAGGCAGATAAGTAAAGACCCTTGGGCATTGTGATTTCTTTTGCTACTATATGGGTTGTTTGGTTGGAAAAGAATGCAAGGAACTTTGATGACAAATATGAATATGTTGAAGGTTCATGAGATGGACGTTAATTCTTCCCATTTTTTGGTATTCGATGTCTCAGGAGTTTAAGAATATTCTCTTCTTTCTTTCTTTTTTTTTAAATATTATTGTGAGTTAGAAAGCAGCAGATAAGTTTTTACTTTGGTTTTTGTTTTGTATGCTTTTTGGTTTTCACCAGTTTGGTATTTACTTTGTAATGCTTTCTCTACTTTATTAACAAAACTATTGTGTAATATTGGGGGAAAAAAAAAAAGGAATCTGCAACTGCCCGTAAGTTCAAGGATGCTTTCTATAACTACCCCTTTCCTCAGACAAAATATTGAGTTCAGAGAAACTTACGTTTTGAGATAATGAAACCACTAAATACAAGCACAAATAATATCGACACACTAGCCGCAGTCGTAGAAGCAACCATAGTTTGGAAAACTGATCCCAAGAATCGGAACATGGATAACGATGCCAAGTGCACAACAAAAAATAACATTAGCTGGCGGAAAAACCTACAAAATGTGAGAAAAGATCCAAGTTAATCCAATATATTGCATTCTAAGCAATAAGTTACTAATCAAACATAGTGTGGATTATAGTTACTTGTTCAATCAATGATAAACTAGGACAATAAGGAAAAACCTTCTAAAGTGATGCTCACCTCCCCACCTCAGGACTGTACCCAATAACATAATAAGTTAGAGAAGTCCAAACTAGAGCTTCCAGCAAAGAAATAGGAACCTTAAGAATGGCAGCTGGAATTGCATATGCCCATGCTGGGTAAAAGGACAACTCTCTCTGTTTGTAGAAAATTGCAAGTCTTGAAACAGTCATGGCCAACTCCGGAAATCCATCAACTAAAAGAATGATGAGGGCATAAAACTGAGCTCCTAGATAATAATTTCCATGAACAACATCAACCTCCATTCTAGTTCGTAAGAATACAGTCATCGTGATAAATGCAATTATCACAAGCTGCAAAAAAGAAAACAAACATTCTCGATAGTTCACAAGGCTCAAGCCCATAGGACTCAAAATTTAATATTGGTAGGAATGCATCAAATGAAAAAAGAAAGTACATGGAAAAAGAAGTTGCATTTGAGACATAAATAAGTACTAATTATAACCTGAGATGTTTTGAATATATATATAAAAGAATTCCTCCTCATGAGAAGCAACTCTCTTGACATGCAACCGCAAAAGAGTGTCCATTTAGAAAGAGAATAAACGCTAAAAGAAATAGCATTTTTATCGCTCTGGGACTTCATGAATGGCTCAGAGAGCTCCTCGTCTAGCTTCTTCCCCATAGCAGACTCCTTAAATTTCATAGATAACATATCAACAGAAACATATCTATAGCCTTGTTCAGTTTGGTGCCAGTACTGTGCTTGATCTTTTCTAGACATAACCTGTGTAATTAAGAGGTTAAATAATACCTCCTTGAATAAATAAGAGCATAAAGAGGAAATATCCTGATGAACTTACCTCCTGAAGGAAGTCAGCCACCCCTTTCCTGTCGGGACACCTAAACCCACAACTCTCAAAAAAATCCAAGACATTATTTCTGGGTCCATGATACACAATCTTACCTTCTGCCATCAAGATAATATCATCAAAGAGATCAAAGGTTTCTGGTGCTGGCTGAAGAAGTGACATAAGTATAGTAGCATCTGTGATATGTGCCAGTTGTTGAAGGCATGCAACAATCTGATATGTGGTTGAGCTATCTAAACCATTTGATATTTCATCCATAAACATAGCTTTTGTGGGACCAATAATCATCTCCCCTGAATATTACCCATATAAGTTGACTAATCAATACTATACTCAGAAGCAATATTCAGCTCAAGTCGTTAAAGCCTAAAGGTCAGCAAGTGGTATTGGAGATGACAATGTTGATACCACCTCTGCTAAATATATTGTACAACGGGAGAGTTGCAATGCCTGCAAATCTGTGCAACTTAGAGCTCAAATTACCTATAGTCAGTCGTTTCTTTTGACCGCCAGAGATACCCCTTCTCATAGCATCCCCAACTAGTGTATCAGCACAGACATCAAGTCCAAGAATCTGAGAGAACAATGCAATGATTGGCAAATCATTGTACTTTATGCATTGCCAAATTATACAAAGAAACAGCTCGAAGTTCGCCATATTGAAAGAGAATTACTTTTAAAATGTAGTCTGTCTGAATGGTTGTCTTTTGTCCTTCAGCAGAAATTGCCTGTTAATGTAAAGAGCTCAGTCAATACATTACGGATAAGCTCATCAACATCATATCTAACATTAGAAACATTATAAATGACATTAACTTATTGCATAGTAATTTCCATTAATCGTATAAAGATGCAAAGTTCTTTTTTAGTAGAAGAAATTCTAGATTTTCCAAGACCTTATTACAACTCATGATATCAAATTACATGTATGAGCCTAATTTAACAAAGATCTCCTAATAAAGCCCATCATCATGGTGGCATCTGCATATGGATGAATTTAGGCTCACCATCTCTAAAAATACAAAGAAACTAATTTAGGCAACAAAGTTGAGTGAATAGCAACGCTAAGACTAAGGGGGTATATCGACTCTATCCAAGATGACAAAGTTTCTCCACTTGAGCACAGCAGGTGCATGGATCAAATCCTCTCCCTAGTTCCCCTTCACCCTACCCTGTAATCAGAAAAAAATAGTTTATGGAGAAAAACTTTAGCAAAAAAAAAAAAAAATAACAGTGGTCATGTTGGCCTATATATTTAATAAATTCATGTTTTTGGGATCAAATTAACTCTGAATTGGCAATTACAATTGTGCTTAATTGCATATGAAGGGTTTGGGAGAACCCAGTCTATCAAAAATGATGATGGGCTTGACGGCTCAGCAAGCTGTTTGAGGTTGAGAGTTTCTGGCAAAGCTGTCGCCATATACCATCTCTGTGGGTAGCTCTTCAAAAACTAAACCCTCCTTTAACTTGTCTGTGTAGTGTTTTCTTGGGTTGCATGGTCTGAGTTATATAGCTAGAAGAAAGGAAAAGGTGACATAAAGACGAAAAACTCCTTATTAACGAAATATGTATGTTCTATTGCAAGTGAATCAGCCCACAAGTAGTCATCAAACCTCTTCTTCAATACACTTACTATTGGAATATTTTGATTAAAACAATGAAAATTCTTATAGCTAACTGCATAAATTAATATGCCAACAAATAACAAATACCGGCCAATGAAACAACACGTCAAACATGTTGTCTTTATATATAGCCACCCTGCAATATACTAATATCACCTTGCCACATTTATAAAAATAAACCTATTTTCAATCATGATTTTCTAACAAAACCAATAAAAACTATTCCGAAGTACCAGTATTTGGACTTTAGACTATGGAGGTTCAATGTATCATGAGCATACTGACAACATCATAAACATCAAAAATGCAAAATATTGGACGTGCTAAAGATACCTTCATGTAAGTATCCAAGTCTGGATCTGGAACAATTCTTGCTTCCTTTTCCCTCCTGCTGACCTCGGTCATAATATCTTCCAGGCATAAAATTTTTTTCTTAATTACGAATGCTAGCATTTGTCAACAGTCAAAATGAACATTGTTGGGTACTCAAAGTAAGCATACCTGCTCTGCTCCGAACACCCTGACAGTGTGACGAAAAATCAAGTGTTTCCCGCACAGTCATCTCAGGAATGTGCAGGTCATTCTGGCTTATATAAGCAGAAGTTTTCTGAGGCACAAACTCTTCCAGTTTGTATCCATTGTAAGAAATGTCTCCTGTAACCTGCAGGATGATAGATTGGCAGATCAAAACTATGGTAAAGAGTGATTGTTTTGTATTTTGAACATTTTGAAAGGTAGAGAAGTAAGTAATTCACTAATGTGACATTATATCTTTTGGAAAAGCAAATCATTATCCACTTTCATGTGCATGACAAAAAAAGGAAATCCCACTTTTCAAGAACTCAGGTTAAAAAGTTCTCTCAATGATAATAATTCTAATTGAGAATGAACCGCTGGTAAAGAATTTCTATTGCTTGGAGTACATTAGGCAAAATGACTAGCAGAGTCCATCTTTTATAAGAAACATGCACAACTAGAAGAGAGTGAGGAGCTTTGCGGTTGTACAAGATAGAGGGATAGTGAGATTCTATAAGGTATAAGCAAGATTCCTTGATCCTTTTCACTGTTGAGAACCATGTAAATTTACAAATCTATTGTATTATAGAAACCTTAAATTAGTCATCAGTGTTGATCTTAGATTTTCCAAGGTCTTATGATTAGGAAGATGAAGCATATAGAAAACAGCAAATCGATGAAGCATATAGAAAACAGGAAACCTCGAGAGATTTGCTTAGGTTTCCTGAAAGTGCTTTCAGTAAGGTGGTCTTTCCGCATCCTGGAGGACCAAGCAGTAAGGTCATTCTGCAATAAAGATAAATCTGCTTAGGTAAGCGGCATGACAAGGTTGTAACAAAGATATATTCGTTGTGAGCCAGGGAAAAAAGTTTGTATTATATAATGCACAGTTGTAGCCCAAATAATATGAATTATGCTTTGTTTAGTTGAATTGAGTAAACTTAAATCAAGAAATAAATGTATTTTCCTACCTTCCAGGCTTAATGATTCCACTTGCATCATTAAGGATGCTTATTTTGGTCTCTTGTGACTTTAAACTAAGAAGCTTGGCACAGTCCTGTAGAACAAAATGTTGCATATCAATTTGGAAAATTATGATAACAACAGAGGAGCAACACAATAAGAAAGGATCCGATTGAAAAGCATACAACAGGATGCTTTAGGACTTCACACATCATAATCGATTCACTCATCGGTTTCTGCAATGAAACACTAGTGAAACAAGATGGAAATCATTTTTTTTTCTTTGCATTTTCCTTCCCGATTCATTTTTACTTGTCTGTGCGTGGTTATGTGGAGGGAGGTTGATTATACACCAAAATGGATGAATTTTTCATCCTATAAGAACAAAGTCTACCCAATATTTTCTATATGCTTCATCCACTCATACATGTTCAAAATACAGACTCCATATAGGGGCAAAGCTGTAAATCTATCTTTAATGTTGGGGATGGGGTGGAGGGGCATGATTAAAAAAATCCACAATAAATATAAGAAATGTCAAAGTTTAAGCATGAGAAATATCTTAAGATTCAAGACCAAATTACTTTTTTGGAGAATTAAAACAGTATCAATAATATATCTAACCAAATACAATGTTCTTGCACATCCAAAAAAATTTTCAATAATTGATTCTAACCTAAATTTCTCAACAATTCTCTTTCAATGTATACAATGGAGAGTATGCGATAAAGTTATCATTCATTTTGTTGTGAAACCTAACAAACATCATCCTCCAGATATATTGATTCTTTTCTTCAAAAGGTAAGAAATTGAAGTTTTTTGAAGCATAAAATGCTCTTTTGAGTTACGATATTTTATTGTTTGTATCTATTCGTGTTTTATTGCTTACATGCATAAAATAGAGGTGTTATCTTTGCTCAGCATATATAAGGGGCATGGCCTTTTACATTATTTCACACAATTCAAAAATATCCTGTGTTTAATGGGTTAGGGGGCCACTAGTGCACCACTAACTTAAGGCTAGAGTCAATATATGAATTTCAAAAAATCAAAGGGGACACTATATAAAATGGAATGGACTCATGCTCTGTTAATGCTATATCTATACTATTAATAAAGGGTTGTGGGTTTGGTTCTTCTCTCTATGTTGGTAGTTATTAGCTAGTTTATTATATTTTATTATTAATATCCTATGTTTTTTTCTTTTCCATTTTTTTATGAATAAATGCAAAATTTTAAAATATTTTATCCAACATTATATTGAAGTCATAAGAGCCCAAGAAGACCAACAAGTCACAGTCCAAACATCACCTCCAAAAAGTTATATTAACGAACAGGTATCGTGCGTGGACTATCCATAGAATTTAAAAACGGTGTGCTCAGATTTGCTTGGAATAGAAATCCATACAAATAGAATTTGACTGATCTAACTAAACTGCCAACACATTGGAAGTAGAAATATATCTCTCATAAATGATTAAACCATAAAAAAAAATATTAAATTAAAAAATAATTATAAAAAGAACTGTAATCAGATAGAAATTCAGTTGGAATATAGACTGTGGTTTAAGCATTGAAATTAGTTGAAGGAAATGGAGAGAGACTTACAAAGAGCATACTTTTGAGAGAATTCCATAGCGTTGGGAGGGGCTTGCCATAAACTACTTCGCACTCTGCTTCTACACGCACATTTTGATATCTTACCTCCACAGTGGGCAATTTTACACCAACTCTACAAAAAATTAGGAGAAAATTTAACCTATCTCTTGCTTGACAAAGTTAAAATTTATAGTAAAGGAAGACTGAACACATATTACCAAACGAACAACGCATTTGAATGTCAATAGTTTGTATAATTGATAGTTAACGAACAACACATTTGCTTCAAACTACTCTGAAATCGGCCCTGTTCAAACTACACATTTTCTCAATTTTGAGTTAATATTTGCAAAACACAACATCGGAAAAACTCAAATTTAAAATAAAACGAACCTAAATTTAAATTAGATCAAACTCAAATTTAAAGTAAGTTGAAATATTATCATTACATCTTTTGGAGCTATTGAAAATTTGAATAAATCTTGTTTTTAGTTATTTTTTTGCTCAAATGTAAATTAAAGATTGAATTTGAATAAGAGTTGGAGATGTTCTAAAATATATACATTAAGCTCTGAAATCAATTTTATGTTAATTTCATCTCCCAATTAGGCAATCTAACTCAATATCACGGCTTTTTCGTTCAAGTTCATTGTCAACTATATCGGATAGTCTCACACATTAATGACGTGTATGGTCTTGAGAATATTAGTCCCCGACTCTCATGATATTGATGTGCATGTGAGATTTTTCGTGACTCTCAAGATATTGATGCGCATGTGATATTTTTTGTTAAAATTAACAAAAAAAATGTGGACCAAAGACCACGACTCAAATTACATAGTTGAAGAGCTAAATCAATAAAAAAAATTAGTTCAGAGACTTAATTGACATAACTAAGAACTAACATAACTTAAATGTCATATGTGTAGTTAACTAATTTTTATTTTTTAATAATTTTTCTTCTAATTAGATTTTTCTACATTCCAATATAACTATTTTCTCAACTCCCAACTATTTTTTTTCGTTTCTTAGGGGTCATTTGATAACATTTTTATTTTTGTGTCTTAAAAAAAATTTAAAACATAAATAATTTTTGTCTTTGTTTTGTGATAAACATAAAAGTAGAAAATATGTTTGTGAGTCACTTTTGTCTATCAAATTATGAAAATAAAAACAAAAAATATATTTGATAACTATTTCAAATTCCCCTTTTGGTGATGGGAATCAATGATTAGCTCATTGATTTTCTTCACAGTGGCAACCTAATCTTCTTCCTCACAGTGGAGGTCATGGCCACAGGGACCATTGCAATCCTATCGGCATGCTTCTCATTCAAAGATGGTTTGAAGACAATCACTTCATCCTCTTCTTCACCTTTCTATGCACAAATCTGTGTATATATGCACAGAGTTGTGCATATATACACACGATCTGTACATATATATGCACAGCTTTTGGGTTTCATAGAGAAGAGGGAGAGAGCAAAGAGAGAGAGGCAACGATAGAAGGAGAGAGACAACAATAGAAGGAGAGAGGCAGCGATGGGGGTTTCTTCTAGTCGTCTGATACAGAGAGAGGAGAGAGGAGAGAGAAACAATGGGAGGAGATAGGGATGAAATGAGTTTTATACTTTAATAAAAAAAAGCCTTGTTTTGTTGTAAAGAGGAGCCGAAGTTCGAATCTCACTAATTCCTAAGCCTTTTGCGTGTGGTGTCTTTGTTTTGGGTGTTTCTTGGAACATTTTTTTTGTTTTCATTTTTTTGTCTTTGTTTTCAAACTATTAATATAAAACAAAAACAAAAATAGTAGCCAAACATATTTTTGTTTTCATTTTTGACAAAAATTAAAAACAAAAACACAAAACACAAGACAAAGTTACCAAACAACCCCCTAATTTTTCATCTTCCTATTCGTCCTTTCTCCAAAACTTCAACATAAAATATTAAGTAGCAAAGCTTACTAGAGACATAAGAATGCGGTGACATATAAATTCTACACAAGTCGACTGCTAGCAACTTTGTGGATTGTGACTAACTCATTGACTACGACAGTGTTTAATAAAATTGAAAGCTGAAATCTGAAAATTGAAAGTTGAAGTCTGAAAGCTAAATACTAAATTTGTGGACTATTTGATATCCATTGAAATTTAAGTACTGAATTAAACTAAACTGTTTGATAACTACATAGAACTGACGTCTGAAAATAAATATTTATAAAATATGTTTTTATCTAATAAAAAATAAAAGTATATCAAATCAATAATAAATTGAATATCACAATAACTGAATAATAACATCTGATCAAAAAAAAAAAAAGAATAACGACAAATAAATAATCGAATCATAATAAGTGAACAATAATAAATTAAATTACACAATAAGTGAATAATAACATCTTATCAAAAAAAAAAACCTAATAAATAATCGAATAACAATAAATAAAAATTGAATAAATAATCAAATTAAAAAATAGAATAAAGTGTGTGTGCAATTTTGTGTTTGTGTGTGAGTAGTTTGGGTGGGTCGGTGGGTGGGTGTGTATATGGTACATGTCTATGTGTGAGTGTGTGGGTTTGGGGCTGTGTAGTTCAACATGTTTATTTGCAACAAACGAGAGAAGAAAAAAAGAAGAAGAACACCTATTATCTGAATAAGACAATTGACAAGGAGGATAGATAAGTTAGGAATTTTGGAGATAACACTAATTAGAGTTTTAATAGGATTGTAAAATATTTCATAGTATAATTGTCATAGTATAAATATTATTAAAGATGATTTTATTGAGCATTTTTAGTTTTTATAATTAAGTAAGGAATCTCCTACTTAATATTTTAAAGGAGCACTTAACATATTAAGATAGTTAAAATTTTAGTTATCCAATGAACTTAATTAATAAATACCAAATATATTCATTTTAAGTGTTGAATTTGGGTTAACAAACACACACTACGTATGAAAATTAAAGAGAGAATTATACTCAAGCTTCATGAGATTTGTCACTTAATTATTTAAATCCATTGATATTTGAAATATTATACACAAACTCTCTAAAATTTGTACGTTCGTAACACTCAAACCCTTATTGTCAATATCCGTTAGTAAATTACATCCAGACTCCCTGACGTTTGTAAGTGTGTTATACTTAGACCCCTCAAATTTAAAATGTTATAATTAGATAAACAATACTCCAAATCAAAGATAAAATATCAAATATTTTAAATTTTACAATCAAAATTTATATTATATCATGACATTTATTGAAATAAAATCAAAAATAAAAACATAATTTTTTAAAAAATTTGTAATTAATATAAAATTATACTATTTATTAGAATTTAATTTGGTTATTTAAACGATCAAATTAAACAACCAAATTACCTCAATTAAACCTGAAAAAATATTGTGTGTATTACAATTTGACCCTTAATTTGATTTTTTTTTAATTTTATTCTAATAGATAATATAATTGTATACTAATTATAATTTTTAAGAAAATAATTAATTTTTTATTTTTTATTTTATTTCAATAACTGTTATAATAGAACATGAATTTTTATTATAAAATTTAAAATATTTAATATTTTTTTTTTGATTAGAATATTTTTTTTGTCTAAGTATAACATTTTAAACTTGAGGTATCTGAATATAATTTATTAACGGATATAGTAATGGACATTGACAACAGAGATTTAAAGTTACGCGAGTACAAACCTTAGAGAATTCGTATGTAATATTTTAAATGTTAGGGAATCTAATTGATTAAATAACAAACTTTAAAAGATTTGAATGTAATTCTTCAAAAATTAAACCATTAAATATAAGGATTAATCCTTGGGCCAATCGATTGCTTTAGTGACCTTAAAACCAGTGTTTTAAAACCCAACTCGAACCGACGGGTTAACTCGATGAATCGGTGCCTAAATGGGGCCGATTCAGCTATTGGACCGTTTATGCATAAGAACCAGAGTAAATCCGGTGAACCGGCAAGAACCTAGGTAAAACCATCAAATCGGGCGGTTCAATAAAACTGGGCGGGTGATTTAATTTAGTATAAAATGTTGATTTTTTGCCCATTTGGGCATTTTGCCTTAAATTGTTTGCCTCTCCGGTGACTCCAGCCTTCTTTGCAATGGTGGAGTGGTGGACTACATTCTTCTCAGTGTGAGTCTCTCTCTCTCTCTCAGACTCTCAGTCCCTCTTTGCTCTGGTCTGGTTTCTACAGTAGTGTGCAGTGGGAGCACGAAAGGGAGTAAGCCTTGATTGAAGACTCAAAGAGGAAGGAATAGGTACATCCTGTCATACTCACACATTCTCTCTCTGTCTACTCTCTTTCTCTCTCGGTTCGATTTGTATTTTGGTCTTTCGTTGTGCATTTCCTCGCCTCACGAACGATTAGGTCTTAGATTGAAGGTTATTCCGACGACTTTCTCTCTTTTTGCGCATTGTGAAAATAGAACTGGTGAAGACTTGAAGGGTGGACATGGGCTCGATCGAACCTCCATCGGCATTAACGATCGGCTTCAGTACTCATTCTCTGCACATTTTTTTCCCTAAAGTGAGACCCCAGGCTCTAGCATGTACATCCCTTTTCCCCCCTTCTCTGCATACTACAATTGGTATATTATACACACTAATATTGTATTGTATGGTTATGGGCTGATTGATTATGGTTTTGTTGATACGCTAAAATTAAGATTTTTTGTATTTTGGTTTGATTTGGTGAAAAATTAGATTCAATTTGATGATTTTGGGATTTTTGTTTGATTTATTATATATTAGGGAAACTATTTTGAGTATTTTCATTGATTTTTTAACTTATTTATTATTATTATTTTTTATTATATTATCGATCCGACCAGTAACCCAATGGTTGAACCAGTAATCCGTTGACTTAATCCCTTTCCCAGGTTGGTGTCCAGGCCGGGTTTTAAAACACTGCTTAAAACAGGTCATAATCAAGTTTCTTTAGTGTAAAATAAATATTTAGTTTTATAGACTTATAAAATCATACAAACCTGATAATAAAGATTAAAATAAAGAAATAAAAATATCATTTTTATTTATCAAATTAACATCAGATTGACGTATTCAAAGAAATCATAATTTGGTGACTCTAATCGCATGTTCCAATTTTTTCAAACTCAAAATATCACGAATTTATATATACAAATTGAAATAAATAATATTTTCTTTAAAAAAAATTCACATGCATTTGAAGCAATAGGCTAAACCACAATATAACCCAATAACTTTTTTTCTTGTGCCAAGTTAAAAAGACTTATTGGATCACAAGTAAGGCACACAACTTCTCATTAATTAAAGATCCTGTTAAAACTCGAGTTTTTACCCCCAACCCATAGAGTTATATAAAAATATATTTAAAAAAGAGTTGTTTTTAAAATATTTTCTAAACTCGAACACTTTTAAAAACTTTATTTAAAATGATGTTTTTAGACCAAAAAATGTAATAACGTTTTTAGGAGCTGACACATCTTAAAATGAGGCCTGACAACTGACAGTTCAACTCACACTCTTTAATTCTTACTACAAATTACGAGAAGAAGACTAAGACCAATTTTGGTTTAGTTTTCGGAAACTGTTTTTTGTTCTCAAAATTTTAAAAACACTTAAAACATGTTTGTTTAATATTTTTGTTATCTAAATTTTGGAAAAAAAAAAAATGAGATTTGAGTCAAAGAAACAGAAAACAAGTGTAGCATGTTTTTAGAGTTTTATTTGAAAATTTTGGAAACAAGGAGAATAATTTTGAATGTTCAAATATGTGTATATATATACCAATATATTTATATAATAAAACAGGAGTGTGTTTGAATTTTATCCCAGTCATATTTTTCCTCTCAAAACCATCACCAATCACTGACCTCACTCATCATCTATTTGTCAGACTCAAATATCAAATCATATTATTCATTTATTTCATATATTTAATCATTTATATATTTCCTTCCCCAAAATTTTACACAACTCATTTCTATTATATATTTAATCATTTAATATTTAATTAATTTGTAGTTAATATATTTTTAAAAAATTTAATATAGTGTGTTCGATTTTTTGGACGCTCAAATTTTATATTTTATTGTGCCTTCAGGCACGAGTTATGACTAGTATATTCATATAATATATATATATATATATATATATATATATATATATATATATATATATATATATATATTAAATATATTTTTTATTAATGTTTGAATTACTGTTCAAATATATATTTAGACTGTCCAAACAGGTTTTACCATTTTCTGTATTGTAAAATTGTTTTTGAAATCATCTAACCAAACAAGTTTTTTATCTCAAAAAATATCAAAACTACTTTTTTAAAACTTTTCTCAAAAACTATTTTCGAATACTATTTTTTGAAACACAAACCAAACATGCTCTATGTTTTCACATGTTACAACATGATGCTCGTTCTGTCGTGGAAAAATGTTTAGGATAAATTACACTGACACCCCTCTTTGTTTCTAATATTTTCACTTCACTCCTTCTTGTTTGTAAAATATCAATAACAACCCTTGTGATAGGACAATTTGTGACAAATTTCTCCATCAGTTTATAGACGTTTAAGGAACAATTAGCTTTTACAGATATGGACAAATTTAAACAATGTACTTTCCGTTTTGCCCTTGAAATAACCTATTTTTGTCTCATGATATCCACGAAAGTTTTTTTCGGAAGGCAAATTATTTAAGTCTCTCTTTTCTATACTAAAGCTGTTTGTGGCAATGCCTCCCTACTAGCTCAATTGCCACCGATAATGATGAGATCCTGAATATGGGCCGTCATCTAAGAGCCCAATAAAATCCAGGGTACCTTTGCCAACATAACGGCTCGAACAGGAGCACCCACAGATGATCTATGACGAGAATAGAGTGGGCTAAACCCAAAGAGTAAAGCCCAACAATACCAGAAGACCTGAGGTCCAATCTAGTCCTAATTCAACCCAGCCAAAGGACGACCCGGGATAAAGAAGCCTAGCCCAATGTCTATCCCGGATCACTCTCCATCGCACCACGTGTCTTAGGAACATAGAGACTACTTTCTGACACCTATGACAATCACGTATTCTTTGGAGCAGAGGGCATTGGTACGCATAACCATCCAGGGATCGTGGGAACAGTGGTGCCGGATGACAGAGGTTGCTATAGGACATAGACAGGAGGACCCATAGAATCATCAAGAAAAAAGAAGGAGCAGGAGGAAACCCTAAAAGGATCACTGTATAAATAAGACACTGTTACCTAGCAAGGGGATTATGACCCTCATTGCACACTTAAAGCCCAAAATATAGCAGATAGAAAAGAGAACATATACCGTGTAAGGACCTAATCCTTGCAAGGCTATTGTATTCACCAAAGGTTGAATAATAGATGGTCTCAAAGAGTAAGAGACTCTATTACAGTGGATGTAGTCTTAATCCTTCTGCTAAGATGAACCACTTACATTTTGTGCTCTTTTATTCTATCAAGAGTAACCTCTTGATCAGCTAAATCCACTAAAATTCTCAAACGTTATTGGCTAGGCTTGGGTATTTATTTCCGACCATCATCAGCCGCTATGAAAGATGTTGCCACCATTGTTGCTCATCACCTTCACCCCTACCGATTCATAACTCAAAACATAACAATGATTTAGATCATTTAAATTTGATAACTTACAACTTAAATTTTAATTTTTAAACCTTAGTAACTTAGTCTATTTACATTTAATCTTTTAATCACAATAAAAAATGTACATTACATGGGGGCACTGTAATATCTATATAATAAAACAGCTCATACTTTAAATTTTATCTCAGTCATATTTTTCCTCTCAAAATCATCATCAATCATTTATCTCACCCATCATCTCTCTATCAGACTCAAACGTCAAGTTACATCACTCATTTCTATCACATGTTTAATCATTTATATATTTTTATCCTTAAAAATATCACATCACTCATTTCTATCATATGTTTAATTATTTAATAATTGATTAATTTGTAGTTAATATAATTTTTATTTCAAATACTATTCATATACAATAGTATACATATGTTGAAAAAATTTAATATAATGAAATCGATTTTTTGGGCGCTCAAATTTTATATTTTATAGTGTCTTCATGTACGAGTTATGACTAGTATATATATATAGAGAGAGAGAAGGGAGGAGGGAGGGATATGGGGATGACAAGTCTATGATGTAAAGAGATTGTGGTGGAGGTCTATCTGACTCAGAAGAGATAAAAGAGGAGATTTATAGAAGAAATGAACTTGTTTGGTACTAGATCTAAGGTTGTTCGATAGTTGGATTGTGGTTTTTGGAAATAGGGTTAGAAACATAACAAATAGGTGAGCGTAAAATTGATAATATCAACTTCTGTCAACCAATGTGCTCCGACAATATTGATAAGGGTGTCATTGCAACTTTGAAAACAACAGGGGGTGCTGTGAAAATGTCAAAAACAACAAGGGGTGTCATTATAATTTACCCAAAATGTTTATTGCTTTGCAGTTTGCGGAATTGTCTTTGCCCAGTTCTTGTTGCAATCCAACCAAATGATTACAGTTGCATGTGAGGGTGTGTAGGCTTAGCTTCTGTGAGTGTACATACATGAGACCCGAGCTTCTTGTCCATGTATGTGACCACCCTTTTTTATGTCGAAGCACAAACACCCCCCCCCCTCCCTCCTATTAAAAACGTCAGTTTAATTGACGTTTTTAAGTGTTATATATTTTAACAACAAAAAATGTTAATTGATTTGACGTTTTTACCTAAAAACGTTACTCTAGCTAATTTCTTTTGGGTTAAAAATGTTATTCTAAATGATATTTTTAAAAATATTTGAATTTATGAAATATTTGAAAAACAATCCTCTTTTGAGTATATTTTTGTACATCTTATGGGTTGAGCCAAAAGCTCTTCAATAACTCAATGGTAGAGAGCAACGTTGTAAGGCATAAGTCATTGGTTCACATCCGATAAAGAGCAGGCGCAAAGCAGACAGACGGATATTTTAAAACAATTATGTTGACTTGGCTATTCTTCCCCTCATTAAACTTTTCTCACTTTCACAACTACTAGGCCAATTCATGGACAGATCCCTCAGGGTAAATCGATGTCTTCTATATTATTTTATTTTTTGGGTATTTATATAGTTGTAAAAAATTAAAATTTTATTTTGGTACATTATTTTGATCATCTAAAAATAAATATATTTCAAAAGCATAATATAAATAGAAAAAATATAATTTCGATACATTTAAAATTGGAAGATGTGAAACTGAAAAATGAAAAAATTTAATATTCAATTATTGACTCGTTTGTTTGAGAATTTTGAAAAGAAAATTTGATCCTATGCATATAGAGGTATGGGTTGCTGTCAATCAATAGTAAAAAAGAATGCTTACTTGTCTAATCTTTTTCTGAATTTCTGCAATAAACGAAGGTTGTCATTCTCAATGTGTTTGATGAGTTTGTCGATGAACATATGACGTTCCACAGCATCAAGCTTGGTGACATCAACCACCCTTTTTCCTCCTTCATTTTCATCAAACAAAGACGATCTCAACCGCTCCAAAGTCGGCAATCTCTCCACGGCAGCCCACTGTGAGAGATGTTCATCGTCAACCTCATGATCATTCTGTGTAGAACTCAAACCCGAAATGCTTCGGGAACTTGAGGTGTGGCGTCGAAATGATGATCTGATACTTCTTCGTATCTCCGAGAGCTCCATTATCGGTGACTCTATATCGTCTGCACCAACCAACTGAGCCATTTTGGAGAGCCTCAACCAAAGCTTGCATTAATGGCGGGCGGGATGACAGAAGAAAGAGAGAACGTCTACATGAACATACAGTCTGATCTGGTGGGGATTTATAAAATAGAAGGAAACGATGATTAGGTCAAGTTATGCATATCGTTGTTAGACTGGCATTATATTTTAATTGATCAAAGGACCATACGAAAATTTATAATTTTGTACCTAAACCACGTTTTTTCCTTTCGATTGCATGTGAATTAAGGCTTAATATGACGGGAAAAAAAATAAACAAATGTTGTTGTCATCAGCAGAGGAAGTTCGAGGTTGGCACGTTCGAGGCATAAATCTCATGCTGAGATCTTTCTTTATTTTAAGAGTTTATTCTTGTAGTTGTTCCATTATTCAAAATGTGACTTTATAATAACGGTTAAATGCACTTTATACCACAAAAGATGCTCAAATTTTCATTTTACACTTTAAAAGTTTTAGTTCTTAAATGCACTCTCACCGTCATGAAAAAGTTTAAAATGTTGGTTACACCCAAAATTATCGTTCATTTTTCTATTATAATAAGTGACATGAGCATGACAATAATCTTAGCGTACTCACACTGAAGAATTAAAATATTTCAAGGTGTAGATAACATTTGAGTATGTTTGAATGCACAAAGTGAAATTAACCCTTATAATAATCATACTATCATAGGGTTTTATCTAATAAAAATTGTCATGTGCTAACTTATTTCTTTTTTTTTTTTTTGGAGTCAATGATCTGGGTGTTCAAACCTTCCTTTTCATGCTGATGGTGGTACCTTTAAATTTCTTCCCGCGTTTTTCGGCCCAAAAGTTTAATAATCATTTTTTGAGTCGATAAAAAAAATGAAAGCTTCGAGAGTCTTACTTTTTCAAGTTAACTCCTAATTATTAATAATCATAACTCAATTCCACACTCTCTAGTGAATGTGATGCAGTAAACAACTAGGCATTTTAGGTTTCATTCTATAACGTGTTTTAAAATTTTGTGGGTATATTTTAGAGTGGACGATATTTGTTGTGTCATATTTAATGGGACTCATATGTGGATCTTAATTAACAAGGTGTATACTTGGATTTTAGGATAAAGATATCCTAATTAAAAGACCTAAGACACGTTGGTTAGGTTGGTGAAAAGTTTCCTTGTGAAAGTGGTGTTTTAAGTACAAAGAAATATGTTTAACAAATTATTAGTTTCTTGACAGTTACTTTGATGGGAGGGAACGATTACTAATTATTTTAAAGTGAAGTAGTTGGTTACCAATTGGGAATATAAATTGCCTGAGAGACTCCATCTTTTATTTACACTTACAACATCTCTCATTCTCTGAAAAAACTATCTACAACCTTTGGAGAATTAAGTTGGTGATATATTCGGTGTTCTTGGTTCGTGATATATTTGGTATTCTTGCTATTCTACTAGTGGGAATTTTCGCTGCATATCTCTATTAAGAATCATTATAATGAATCTCATGAGTCAATGTTAGTTTTTTATTCGATCCGATTTATGACGATTAGGTCTATTAATTGGTATCAGAGCACGTTATGAGATTTGATTTTTAAAATTATTTTTATTCATATAATTAAATCTACGAGAAGAAAATTTTTGTTATCGAAATTTTACCTATCGATATTGTTTCGGTATGATCTGGTATGTGATATTCACTGTGTTGCATAATGTCTTTGTGTCTCGAATGCGTTTGTCTTGAATGGTAACCATAAAAGAACAAAGCATGAAACGTAATATACTTGAACACTTCTATATGTTTGAATATTTGTGTGGCAAACACAAGTGAATTGCTTAATTGAAAGCAATATAATAGTAGGGTTAATCTCATTTTGTACCCTGAAAGATTATTCGAATTTCAATTTACACTCTTAAAGATCAAAAATTTTAATTCATACCCTCAAAGATAGAAATTTATATCAATGTGCACCCCCAAAGATCAAAAATCTCAATTTGTACCCTCAAAGATAGAAATTTATATCAATGTGCACCCCAAAGATAAAAAATCTCAATTTGCACCCTCAAAGACAGAAATTTGTATCAATGTGCACCTAAAACTAAATTGATAAATTATACCTAGATCCCCTCATACTTGTTACTTAATCATTTAGACTTCTTCACATTTAAAATATTACTCCTACATCTTATGACATTTGTGCACGTATAACACGTAACCCATTTTCATTGATATCTATTAATATAACCGTTAAAAAATATAATTTTATCATAATAAAAAAATTATAATTTTATATTACCCTTTATTTTATAGGTTCAATATATTCTAAAGTTCAAAATCTAGTTTACCATTTGAATGTCTAATAAAATGTAAATATTTATATAATATTTTTCATATTACCTTTTATATAAATATCTACATCTTATTAGACATTCAAATGGTAAGCTTGATTTTCAACTTTAGAGTGTATCGAATCCACAAAAATAAAAGATAATATGAAATTATAATTTTTTATTAGGATAAAATCATATTTTTTAACGATTATATTAACAGATATCAACGAAAAGTGGTTATGTGTTACACATGTACAAACGTTATGAGATGTAAGGGAAATATTCTAAGTGTGAAGGAGTTCAAATGATTAAGTGACAAACATGAGGGGATTTAGGTATAATTTATCAATTTAATTTTAGATACACATTGATACAAATTTCTCTCTTTGTGGGTGCAAATTGAGATTTTTTATCTTTGGGGATGCACAATGATACAATTTTCTATCTTTGAGGGTGTAAATTGAGATTTGAATAATCTTTTAGGGTACAAAATGAGATTAACCCATTATAGTATAGAATTTTCTTGGTGTTGAAGACAACAATTTAATGCCTTGATTGTCGGACATCGAAAAGTCAAATGGATTAGTTTCTAATATGTACGCATTATGTACACTGGATCCAATGGTTTTATTTATGGGTGGATTTGCCCTAGTTGATGATACCGTTCACAATCAGTTTGTGATATCTTGGCCAGAAAATTTATTGGAATCCAATTTTGACCAAAATAAATTGTTTTTTAAGTACTAGATTTATATGGGTAAAATTTATTTGTTTATAAGTCATGATTCCGATTATTCTATGTATAATGAAGAGCCAAAGTATAGAAACTTAGTTTTAATAAACTTATATTTATTTTAATTTTATGGTGCCGATCCAAAGCATCCCATAATTTTAAAATATAAGGAAACTTTTTAATAAAGTAATTTACATTGATTGTCATCCATGACATTGAATACTTGCACTATATTAAATAATAGCTTTACCCCAAAGGGAAGCTATTATATAATGGTGAACGGTGGGATGAAAGAATGGTTTGAGGTATTGTGCCAAAGTTGAATTTTTGTTGTCCAAAGGTCTTGAATTCATCTTTTCTATGATATTCCATGCCATTAGTTTCATCTTCAGATGGGTAAATTATTATAATATTGTATAAAGTGATTTACCACTAAAATTACTAATATGAGTTAATAATTTAGATAAAGTTTAAGCGTGATTATTAGTATGCATATTGATTGTAAGCATATAATGTTTTATATTGCAGCTTTACTTCCTAGCCTTATGTCTCAATCTGCATCTCATATCCCTTTGTTAAATATTTCAAATTTCTCGAAATGGAAAGATAGAATAATATTTACTTTGGGGTGCACGGAGATTGACATGACGCTTCGTGAGGATAGACCACCTATCCCTACGAAATTCAACAGACTTGAGGAGAAAAAGATGCATGAGAGAAGTAAGAGAGGTGCAACTGCCTTAGCCTCCTATTCATGCAAAGTCATATTTCAAAGAAAATTAGGGGCTTCATTCCTGACTCTAAAACTGCTAAAGAATTCATGACTACAAATGAGGAGTAATTTGTGAGCTTTGAAAATGTACTTGCTAGCACCCTGATTTCAAAGTTTTTTTCTTTGAAATATAAAGGTCACAGTGACATATGCAATCACATTCTGTAATTACGTTACATCTCTGCCCAACTCAAATCACTAGAAATTGATATGTTTGAGACATTTCTTGTCCACTTTGTCCTTAATACTCTACCTTTGGAGTATACCCCATTTAAGATCTCTTACAACAAATACAAGGATAAATGGTCTATGAATTAGCTAATGACCATGTGTGTTGATGAAGAATAGAGACTGAAGCAAGAGAGCCAATAAAGTGTCCATTTGACCTCTCATAAAGGAAAACGACAGGTGGAAGTAGGTAGTAGCAACTACCATACTCCAATTAGGAAGAAGAACATAAAAATGTCAACCAAATCAGCAGGCAAAAAGGACTTCAAGTGTTTCTTCTACAAGAAAAAGGGACATGCAAAGAAAGACTGCATGGAGTATAAGAAATGGCTCAAAAAGAAAGGTACATCTCTTTCTTTAGTGTATTATGAATCAAATTTCATAAATGTATCTCATAACACATGGTGGATTGACTTTGGTGCAACTGCACATATATGTAATACCATGTAGGAATTACTGAACAAAAGGGCCCCAACAGAAAGTGAATGAAGCATCATTATGAGAAATAAGATGCAATCACACGTGGAAGCTATTGGAAAGTTCAAACTTGTTTTAAAGAATGACCACATCTTATATTTACATGACACTTTCTATGTTCCTAGTTTTTCTAGAACCTTTTCTCAATACATAGACTTGTTTCTTATGGTTATCATGTTATGTATGGACCTTCATTTGTTAGTTTGCACTTGAATGATGTTGTGGTTGGTAATAGTATTTTAGAGGATGGTTTATTTAAATTATCCCTAGATACATCATTTGAAACATCTTTATTACCCATGCATGATAAGGAATATTGTGGATAGAAATGTGGCATTTTGAATGAGAATTCTTCCATTTTATAGCACGAGAGATTAGGACACATCTCCAAAAGGAGAATCAAGAGATTGGTAAATTATGGAATCTTACCAAACCTTGAATTCACAGATTTTGATATTTGTGTAGACTGTATTAAGG